ACCCCAGTCACCACTGGATCCCGTGGCCCAGCCTCAGGTGAACCCCACGCCCCAGCCACCACTGGATCCCGTGGCCCAGCCTCAGGTGAACCCCACGCCCCAGCCACCACTGGATCCCGTGGCCCAGCCTCAGGTGAACCCCACAGCCCAGCCACCACTGGATCCCGTGGCCCGGGCTCAGGTGAACCCCACAGCCCAGCCACAGTTGAGCATTGAGGCCCAGTCCCCTGGCCCTGCTACTGGGACCCCCAGGCTCTGTGAGAAAGCTTCCTTTAGCCCATCTCTAGATCCTTCACCTGAGGCCCCTGAGAGCCCAGGCATGCCAGCGGCCCCTGAGGGAGAAAGCCCTGACACTGCCCCAGCAACAGAGGCCCCCAGTGCAGGTCCCACATGAGGATCCAGGAAGCCCAGGCCTGCCAGAGCAGCAGAAAAGTCAGAGGGCGTGGAGGAACCAGCCAATCAGAGAGGCAGGAGTAGCTGAGAACACCCCTGTTGAAAACCCCACAAAGTCCTCGGGCCTAGAAGAACTACAAGGGGGAAGTGAAACAAAGCAGCCAAAAGTCCCAGACAGTTTGTGTCAGCGTCCCCTGCTCCGCCCCCTCCACACCTTACATGGTTGCTCCTGACACACAGTCACCCAATAGCCTCCTGAGCCACGGCTGATGGTGTCCTGCTGAGTTCTGTCCTCCAGTCCCACAGATGCCACCTTCTCTGTGCTTCAATCCTGCTGCAGAAAGATAGTAGGTCAGGTCTGGACACAGGGACAAGAGAGAAAAATCCCTGCAGAGAAAGGAGGCCACCAGGAGCCTGCAGCCCCAAGCAGAAGCCAGAGGCCCCAGTGGCCCACAAGCTGGCCTGGCATGGCCACGCCCTGTCTTCCAGTGCCCTGTCCCCAGAAGACAGTGAGGCTGGGGTGAGATTTGCCTCAGCAAGGTGGCTGGAGAAGAGGCAAGAGTGACCAAGCTTGGATTCAAATCCAAGTTTATGACACCCTGGCTGGGTGACCCAGGACAAACTACTTTTGAGTTCCTGTTTTGTGGGCTATTTTGAGGATTAAATGAGGGGGCATAGGAGGTGCCCCACAGGAGCCATGTAGCAAGGGATCAGTGAACAGATGTCCTCTCCATCAGGGGCATAAAGAGATGGCTTTTAGGGTGGATGGGTGGAGGCACGTGGAAGAGCCACCACCTGGCCTGAGCACCTGGGCTCCTGTGACTGGCCTGGGCTGCAGACACCCAGGTGGCCTGAGAGAGCATGGTGCCACCTCCACATCTTTCAAGGGCAGGAGGGTTTGGCAAGAAACGTCAAAGTCTGATTCCATTCAAGGGTTTGACTGGCACTCACCTGCTCCTGAACCTCCCAGGGAGGGCTGCAGAGATTTTCTAATGGGGGTGCAGGTACAGACTGCACTGGCCCCAACCTCCCCCCATCTAAGCTTAAGGGCTCAGTTAGGAGTTAATCCGAGTGCAGAGTGCTCTGGACACCCGAAAGGGCAAAGGTTCTTGGAGGTCACCAAGCTTCTCTCAGGCAGAACCAGCTCCTTGGTAGCTGCAGATACTGCAGGAAAAAAGAGGAACTACTGCAGTCCTGTTCCCCATCTCCTGCCCCTCTGCTTCCTCCCTGCCCCTAGTGTCCTGCCCCTCTCCCCCCACAGCCCTTTCCTACTAGTTTAGCGTTGAGACCTGCAGCAGCTGCGAGATGCCCTCACCAGCAGGTGTAAATGATAATGGTATTTTATATGCTGCCCTTCCCAAGGCTGTTTCATTGTAAAAAGGTGGCAGGTGGTTCAGGCAGCTGGCTGTGGTGCAGTCAGATCTGGGTTTGGGTCCTAGCTTGCTCTTAGCCTGTTTGCCTCTGTCAATTCAGGATAATGTTTCCCTTGGTCGGGTAGCAGGTTGTGGTTATTACCAGAGCCAGGCACAGAAAGGCCAAGGATTACAGGCACTGAGACAGGTGGGAGAGGGATTTCTGGGCAGATGTGAATTATTTGAATCCATTCATCCAACAAGGATTTGCTGAGCACATGCTAGACCTGATGCCTCTCTGGCTGGCCTTCCCTTTTGGAGATATACAGGCAGGGTTCAGGTTGTGGTTTTTGGTGCCCGGAAGGGGTTGTTTGAATCTTGGCTCTACTATTCACCATGTATAAACTTCAGCAAAACTCTTGGCTTCTTTGGGACTCAGTTGCCAATCTGTAAAATGGGGATCACAACTGACTGATCTCTATGAAGTGTTTGGATCTTTACCAAGTACACAGTAAGTGCTCAATAACGGTTAGCCCTTAATTTGATTGTACCAGTGGGCATCCCCTGGCTCAGGCCAGACGTGAGATCAATACAGGCCAGAGCCCACCTGGCAGGTAGACTGCCTGCCAGGTTTTATTCTCCCTCCCACACTACCTCCTCCTCCTTCACCTTTCCCCATCTTGTTTGTTGGAGTGCACACTCCCTGGGGACAGGGTTTGGACTTCTGTCCTCCTTTTCCTGGCAGGGGCCCCAAAGCTTTTCAACATGGCAAGCAGATCAGTGAATAAAACCTCAGCACAAGCCACCTGCCTTGAGGAGTGAGCCAGCCCTGCTTCCAAGGTCTCAAAGAAGAATCCCACTCATAGTGGGTAACTGTGATCCAGGAGAAAGAGCAGGCCTTGAAGTGACTTGCGGGACAGAGAGGAGTTTTCCCAGGGTCTCACAGAGGAGGTTTATGTTGGAGGAAACAGGGCCATGAAGATCCCACAGCCTCCCCACATCACCCTAACACACAGGCTGGGCTCCCGTTGCCTTCTGGGAATCTCCCTCCTTCTCTGGGTGAGAGGCCCTTCCCCCTCTTCCAGAGGGGCCCGACAGTGATTCTGAGAGTTGAAAACATGAAGATTTTTAATTCTACATTCAGGGATGTTGCTTGTCCGTTCGCACAACCTGCACTAAGCGATCACATGCCGTGTACTGGGTCCCTTTTGGGGAGCTGGGTGTACAGTGGCGGCAGGGAGGCAAAATCCTTGCCCTCAATGTGTTGACATCCTAGCAGGGAGAAGTATCTGGTGATCTAGCAGTGACTGAGAACAATGCAGCGAGAACAAGGAAGGGCCAGAGAGTGACCGGGTGAGAGGGGTGTCAGGGAGAGCCCCAAGGGAAGTGACAGTGAGCAGAGACCTGGAGAAGTTGAGGGATGGAGTCTTTTCAAGACCCAGGGGGAAAGTTTCCAGCCAAAGGGAGGGAACAGCACGCCCTGTCCCGAGATAGGGGGATGTTCAGGGATAGGAGATGTCAGTATCACTGGGCCACAGGCAGTGAGAGGACAGTGGAGGGTGTGAGGGCTGGTGGATGGGGGTCAGACAGGTAGGATGGGAGGAGAGAGAAGGCAGCTGTGGATTCTATCTCAATCAGGCCAGTAACAGGCTGGGAAGGGTTCAGGGAAGTGGGGCCACCCAGGCTAGTGCGGGCTTTAAACAGACCCTCACCTGTTGCCTAGGATCTGGCTGCATCTGGTCCCCACATTCCTGCCTGGCCAGCCTAGGGTTTAAGGAGACTGGGAAATGCAAGCACTCTGAAGCCAGATGGAGACTGAACACTCGCTGTGTGCCCTCCGGCAAACACCTGCCCTCTCTGAGCCTGTTTCCTCCCAGGGTGGTGAGGGGAATGAGACGAGACACACACCCCAGCCCACCCTCTAACCCACAGCCAGGGCTCCTTCTCTCTGCCTCTTTGTCTCTTCCCTTTTCTTTCTGGGAAAGAGACCCTGCCATCACCTCTTGGTTACCCAGGGTAGTAGACGCACATGGAAGGTAGAAGGGAGCCAGTGCCCAGAGCCACCTACTTAAAAGAAAAGTGGGTCCTACAAAGACACCGAAGGGCCCACGGAGAGACGGAGTAGGGTGGATCTGGGGAGGCCAGCTGGGCTCCTTGTCAGAGAATAAAGAGGACCATGGTCTGACCTCTAGGCTCAGAGTAGATGGTCCAGGGAGTAAAGGAAGATGCAAGAGATCTGCGGCCCTCAATAAAGACCCTGGCAGGACCCACGGGAGTCCATCGGGAAGAATGGGACCGCTGGGCCTTTCCCTCCCACCTTCCAACATTGTCTTACTTATATCCTTAGCCAAGAGCGTTAACTCTTATAAAAACCGTCCATAGAGACACCACCTGGAGGCAGGGCGGGGATGGCTGTCTTACGGGTACGCGCAGTCGGGTTGAGGACCGGCCGAGTCGGCTTCACCCTAACCTGACAACTCCTGCGCATACCCCGGTCCGCGAACATCGCCCCTTACTCCAGCTGCTGCACAGGCACTTTTCACCTCTTGGGGTGAGGGTGGGGCTCCTATTGGCCCCGCCCCAACCCTTCTGACCCCGCCCACTCCGGCCGGCCGTCCCACCCCCGCGCGCGTGACTCGGCCCCGCCTCTCAAGCCCCTGCCCGCCCCCCTCTCCCGCCCTCGCTCCTCTGTCACTTCCTGATTCCCGCTTCCTGCTTCCCAGAGATCGGGATCCCAAGCTGCCCGAGGCCGCCGCCGCAGCCCCCGGGAACCCCGGTGAGCGGTGAGCGGGAAGCAGGGCGGGACCTGGCTGGGAGTGCAGGCGAGGGCGGGGTCCGGGGAGGGGGACCGCAAGTCCGAGGAGCACTTTCTCTCCTTTGCGCCCCACCCTCAGTCCTAGCTCCCCTGGCCGTCCAGCCTGTCCTTCTGGGCCAGGGTCCCTGAAAGTTGGATCCTTGATTCACCTTGGACCGCGCTCTGAGGCTGCTCTGGGATGCTCGGCGGCTAGCAGCGCCGTCTCGACCCCCCGCTGCGTCCTGCCAAAGCCCCCGGGCCGGGGTTCCTGCAGCTTCCTGCACCTTCCCTGGGACTCAGAACTGGGGCTTAGAGCGCCCTACAGCGGGGAGCCCTTCCCTGCCTCCTCTCCTCCCTGCTCTTCATCCAGTCTCCAGATCTCTGGGCAGGAGAGGCAGCGCCAAACTGCCCTGGACCTAAAGTGCTATGCTTTCTCTGCTTCCACCCAGCAGAGGCGCGGGGAGGGGTCCAAAGGAAGCCCCACAAAGCCACTCAGAACTCAGCGGTGGCGAGCGCTGGGGATCAATGCATTTAGCCCTTCAGATGTGTGCTGTGGGAGGTGGCCTTGGTCTGCACCCGTGACCCTGTCCTGTGACTGGGGAAACTGAGACCCAGGCTGGTTATAATAACCAGTCCCTGTTGCGCCCTCCCCACCTCCCATCATGCAGCCCTGGGAGAGCTCTTGTCGCTGTGACAGCAAGGTGATCCCCACCTCTCTGCCCTGCAGACATGTCCTTCCGAAAAGTAGTGCGGCAGAGCAAATTCCGGCATGTGTTTGGGCAGCCAGTCAAGAATGACCAGTGCTATGAGGACATTCGAGTGTCCCGTGTTACCTGGGACAGCACTTTCTGCGCAGTGAACCCCAAATTCCTGGCTGTGATTGTAGAGGCCAGCGGTGGGGGTGCCTTCCTGGTGCTCCCTCTAAACAAGGTGGGCTGGGAGTGGGGGCTGAAGCGAAAGCTACAAGCACCTGAGCTACACCTCTGGCTCTTCCACACACCTCAGAGGCGTGCCTTGTTTGTCCCCTCCCTGCTGGGCAGGTATTCTGATCCACTTTTACTGCCCAGGAGGTGTGAGCAAAGGTGGCAGAAGTGTTTATTGACACTGAGTCAGAGACGGGGCTGCAGACATTTTCTGCTTACCTGGGGTGGGGGGCGGCAGGCACTGTCACATGTGGAGGAGCAGTGAGCCAGGCTAGACACATCATTCCTACTCCTGGGAAGGGCTGAGGCTCTGGAGAGACGGAGCACGGACATTCTGACCATGCCTCCATGCCTGCAGACGGGCCGCATTGACAAGGCCTATCCGACGGTGTGTGGGCACACAGGACCTGTCCTAGACATTGACTGGTGTCCCCACAATGATGAAGTCATTGCCAGCGGCTCAGAGGACTGCACAGTCATGGTGAGCATAGGACTGTTCAAGCCAGGGTCTCAGGCGTGGCTGTAGGCTCCTGGTAGCAGGGGCAAGCAGAGACTTCAGCCCATCATCCTCATCCCTCCCACAGGTGTGGCAGATCCCAGAGAATGGTCTGGTTTCCCCACTGACAGAGCCAGTGGTGGTGCTGGAGGGGCACACCAAGCGCGTGGGTATCATCACCTGGCACCCCACCGCCCGAAATGTGCTGCTCAGTGCAGGTCTGCCTGGCTCCCTACCCACTTTGCCCCTCAAACCTCCTCTGCATATGTGGCTCTGGAACAGCCTAGCAGCATTTCCCGGGTCCACCCGCCACGTAGGGAAGCTAAGGCCTGCAGCAGTCAAGAGAGTTGGTTCAGTCCCTGGGGAGTGGGTAAAGTAGGTCTGGTGGGCTGATGGCCCCCACCTGCCTGCCCAGGTCTAAGCTGATGGCCCTCTACCTGCCAGGCTGCGACAATGTGGTGCTCATCTGGAATGTGGGCACTGCAGAGGAGCTGTACCGCCTGGACACCCAGCACCCCGACCTCATCTACAATGTCAGCTGGAATCGCAATGGGAGCCTCTTCTGCACGGCATGCAAGGACAAGCGCGTGCGCATCATCGACCCCCGCCGGGGCACCCTGGTGGCAGTATGTGGCCCCAGAGGGTGAGGATGGCAGTGGACAGGCCCAGGGGCTTGATTGGGGTGCTGTACTGACCACCTCTCCCTCCCCAGGAGCGGGAGAAAGCCCATGAGGGGGCTCGGCCCATGCGGGCCATCTTCTTGGCAGACGGCAAGGTGTTCACCACAGGCTTCAGCCGCATGAGTGAGCGGCAGCTGGCACTCTGGGACCCAGTGAGTGGCTGTGGTCAGCCTGAGGGGGCAGGCTTGAGACTGGGCCCCTACTCTGGCAGCATCATCCCAGACCAGGCTGGCAGGGGTCACCCTGGAGAGCACTGGGCCCAGAACCACGCCACCCTCTCCTGTCCCTGCCCGTGCTCTCTGGCCCTCCCTGAGACTTCCCCATTGTCTCCCACTGCCTCCATACCTTTGCCACCATGTCCCTGCTGATGGAAAGGCCCTTTCCTCCTTTTTTGCCTGAACCACCCAGCTGGCCTTCGAGGGCCAGTGCAGAGGTCCTTCCTCCAGCAAGCCCCTGAGCCCTTGCTACGAAGCGCTCTGTCCTACAGCTGTGTTTGTGCACAGTAAGCAGGGCCCTTTCAAGGCAGGGGTGGTGTGCCTGTAGTCCTCAGCACTTGCTCAGTGGCCTGGGAAGAGCCTTAAGGCCTGGGGGAGGATAGAAAAGTAGGATCACAGGAGTGGAGAGGATCCCTTAGTGGTCACACCGTATGGGTGAAGGCCAGGAGGTAGGAGAGAACCTCCTTCGTCTTTTGGGGCAGTGCTGGCTGGCATGTGAGGCTGGTTAAGGCCAGTCCTGGTCAGGGGTTTGGATGGACAATTCTGGTGTGACCTGACTGCTCCCCATGTACCAGGAAAACCTCGAGGAGCCTATGGCCCTGCAGGAGCTAGACTCAAGCAATGGGGCCCTGCTCCCCTTCTATGATCCTGACACCAGTGTGGTCTACGTTTGTGGCAAGGTGAGGCTGGGCACAGCTGGTGGGAATAAGGGAAATTTTGTGGCCAAGTGCTGAGCCCTCTGCCCCTACAGGGTGACTCCAGCATCAGGTACTTTGAGATCACGGACGAGCCCCCCTACATCCACTTCCTGAACACATTCACCAGCAAGGAGCCCCAGAGGGGCATGGGCAGCATGCCCAAGCGGGGCTTGGAGGTCAGCAAGTGTGAGATTGCCCGGTAAGAGGGGTTGGGGCACACTGAGATCAGCCTGGGGATGGGTCAGGATGGGAGCAGGGGTCAAGCCCGGAGCATCCAAGGTGAGAGATCACATCACAGGAGGTAGCTCCGGAGCAGGAATATGTCATTTAAAAGGGCCCGAGGGTCTGGAGCCGGTCTGTAGGAACCCTTGAAGCCACAAGGCAGTCTGCATGAGGGGCCTTCAGGTTAGCCTGTGGGAAGGCCGGGTAAGGGTCGGGAGTGGAGGTTGGAGGCAGCTAAGAGCTCCAATCATGGGGCCTCCTCTCCCTTTCCCAGGTTCTACAAACTGCATGAGCGAAAGTGTGAGCCCATTGTCATGACTGTGCCAAGAAAGGTGAGGCCACCTGCTTCCCAAACCCATTTGCTTCCTTCTCTAGCACATAAGGGTGATGGGTGAGGCCTGTGAGTGGATGCAGTGGGTGGGATGGAGATATGCCAGCATGCACTTATACCCAGAGGGTAGATAGGGGGCTAGCAGGATAACAGAGGGCTAGCTGAAGGTCTGCCCCAGAGGAGCCACAGGAGACAGGGCCAAGAGTCAGGAAGGAGCTGCAGCCATGGAGAGCCTCTCAGTAGGCGGCAGGGCCAGCAGGGTCCATCCAGCAGGGGAGCAGGCCAAGCAAAGGCATGGAGCTGGGAATGAAAGGGGACGAGGGGTCTGGCTGCAGTGGAGTGTTCCATGAGGACAACCAGGCCACATGGGCTTTGGCCCCAGATGCCAAGAGTCTCAGACACACTTCCATTATTCTCCAGCGGACATTTGCTGAGCGCTTCATTCAATGTGCCAGGCACATCTGGGAGCAGAGAGGGGTGGGGCTGATAGGACCTGCTGCAGCTTAGTCCATGGGGCCCAAATGTGGCTCACAAGATAGCTGGGGCCTGTGGTTTGCAGGCAAGGATGGTGATAAAGCCTTGCTCAGAAGGTTGCGAACAGTCGCAGAGGGAGCTGTTGGTGTCCAGAAAGGAAGTGAAATGGCAGATTTGAGGTCACTCAAGGCCAGGCCAGTGGAGGCTGGGTTGACAGAACACCAGCCAGAGCCCAGGAGGGAAGTGAGGAAATGGCCACTCAGGGTCCAGCTGTGAAGTGTTGGTGAGAGGCCCCCAGCTCATCCTGACCTCCCCTACCTGCTGCGCAGTCCGACCTCTTCCAGGATGATCTGTATCCTGACACGGCCGGGCCTGAGGCGGCCCTGGAGGCGGAGGAGTGGGTGAGCGGGCAGGATGCCGACCCCATCCTCATCTCACTGCGGGAGGCCTATGTGCCCAGCAAACAGCGAGACCTGAAAGTCAGCCGGCGCAACGTGTTATCCGACAGCCGGCTGGCCAGCTCCAGCCGGCCAGGAGCCTCCACATCTGCTGCCACCACCGCTGATGCCACCCCCAGTGGCAGCCTCACAGGAGCTGAGGTATGTGCTCCCTAGTTAGGGGTGGTATTGGGAGCCTGGCTGTTGCCCCAGGCTGTGTCTACCCACATCATCTGGTGCCCCTTTCTAAGCCAGGTCCTCTGTCTGGTGGTTGGTTTGAGGAGGGTCATAGCTGAGGCAGCTGACTCCCTGTTGTCCCTGCAGGAGGCCGGGAAGCTGGAAGAAATCCTGCAGAAGCTTCGGGCATTGCAGGCACTGATCAAGGAGCAGGGGGACCGTATCAGCCGCCTGGAGGAGCAGCTTGGCCGCATGGAGAATGGGGATGCGTAGGACCACAGCCCCCAGGTCCACCCCTCGCTGCATCCCCTCCTTCATTCCCTTCTCATTCAGCTTCTGCTGGCAGGTCACGCACTGGCTGCTGACTATACAAGGGCCTCTGTGGCAGGTCAGGGACCAGTTTGTACCTGACCAGGTCTGGGGCCCAGGTTGGAGCCACCGCCCAGCTCTGGTCATTGTTACTGTGGAGGATTTTTATACCAAGGCAAGCTCGCTTGTACTCTGAGGGACCATCTCTCCCACCTACCCAGCCGCCCCCCCCAGAGGAAGTGGCAGGGATGAGCTCTATATTTTCATTCCAAATAAAATTTTCTTTCTAAAACCCTGGATTGATTAGCTGCTGCAAGCATGGGCCTGTGAAGGAAAGTCTGGAAACCTGGGGACAGATGAGCATGGAAGTCATGAGGGTGAAAGGTCTGGGGGCCTCCAGTAGCCACACATTGCTCCCCTAAGTTCTGTCAGGCAGAGAAACAAAGGCAGAAGACTTGTAGACACATCCACAGCTTCACCCAGCTTTGCTTTGGGTACCTAGTTCCTCCTCTTGGAGGCCTGGGGAGGCCCATGGCCCCAGCCACACCCAGAGAAGCTTGTGAGAATTTGATGTGCGCTGGAGTGGTCCTGAGAGGCCCAGGCCCAACCAGGGTCCTGTGGCAGGCAAGAGCGGGTGGGGTATTGTGGACAGGAAGCGGAAGTGTTGGGTCGATAACCCCGAGCTGCAGTTGAGAGCGCTGGAGCTCACTTCTCAACACATCTAGAGCCGGAGGTGGGCGCCCCGTGAGGAGCCAGCAGACCGATGGTGAGTGTTAGGGCCTGCTGCTTTCCTGAGGCGAGGGCAGGGGGTTCCAGGAGGTTAGAGCTGGAATGTACGGAAGGGCTCCCCCACTAGGACCCAGAAGCAGAGATAGACAAGACCCAGGTCGAGCATCATTGGGCAAAAGCTGGGTTCAACTCAGAGCTGGGCTCCCTGGGACTCAGAGTCCAGCCCCAGCACCCCACTCCCAAGTCCAGCCCCACTTTGAGGCCCCTGGGATAGACCCTCACCTGGTCATCTCATGAGCTGAACTCCAGCATGACTCCCGCTTGCGTCCCTGGGGCCTAGAGGCTGAGGGAAGGGCCACACTCACACCCCTCCCCCTTCCCCTACACGCTCCACCTGCCTCGTTCCAACCGCAGGCTTCCTCTGCCAGCTGCACCCAGCTGCCCCCAGCCCCCCAGCCTAAGCCCTGCTCGCTTGAGGCCCTCGGGGCTGGGCAACGGGTTGCTGATCGGCGGAAACACTGCAGTAGCTGTGGGAGGAAGAGGGGCCTCAGGGACCCCCATCCTGGGACCCAGCCAAGCAGAGGCTTAAGGGTTGCTTCTGGGTTCATCCAGATCCCTCCATCCCAGCTTCCGGGAGTCAACACTAACACCAGCCACTTAGACCCCTTCCTTCTCTTCTCTCTCCCCTTACCCACCCTCCCACCTCCAGGTGGGCAAAATTTTGACACATTTGGCCTGGTTTTTTGAGACAGGGTCTTGCTATGTAATTCAGGCTAGACTTGAACTTACTGTGTAACCCAGGCTGGCTTTGAACTCAAGGCAATCCTCAGCCTCCCAAGTGCTGGGACTAAAGGCTTTGGGCTATCATGGAGAGCTAGCCTGTGTTTCTTGAGCATCTACTATGTACCAGGTATTAGTTTTAGGTCTGTAGCCCCCAAATGTCTTCCCACAGCTTAGTCTGATTGCATAGGTGAGGTAAGGCAACAGAAAAGATACACCTGTATGTATCCTGTGTACTACAGAGAAGATAAAGCATCAGGTTAGGGGGTCGAGAGTGCAGGGTGTGTGGACTGCTGTAACAAACAGCAGTTAGCAATCAAGGTCATGCTGGGTCTCACAAGAGGTGAGCCGGCAGCCATGTGGCCCTCAGGTGTAGAGGCATTCCAGGCCAAGAAAAGAGCCAGTGCAAGGCCTTCGGGGAGGAACAGGCTGAAGGAAGTAAGGAATGAGGTGGGCTGTCGGGTCAAGGTCAGGGTTACAGGCAGATCACACTGGGTCAAGGCTTTGACCAAATAAGGACTGGAGCACTTTTCAGCTCGACTGCTTCCATTTTGCTGAGGCAACTGAGCACCTTCTCAGTGGGGAATGGAAACTAGTCTTGGTCATTCACCCAGCTCCACACCAAGTGACAGCCCCGACCTGTCTCCTACAGGCTCTATCCTGTGCCCTTGGGCTTGGGATGCTGCTGGCCCTGCCAGGAGCTCTGGGCTCTGGGGACGGCGCAGGCTCCCGCTCTGTAACAGTCGTCCTACTGCTGCTGCTGCTCCTGCTGCTGATCACCGGCCTGGCCCTGGCCTGGCACCGCCTCAGCCGTGACTCAGGGGGCTACTACCATCCGGCCCGCCTGGGCACTGCGCTGTGGGGCCATACCCGCCGCCTGTTCTGGGCCTACCCTCCAGGCCACTGGCTTCAGACCCGCTTTGGGTTGGGGTCATCAGACAATGCAGAAGAGCAAGAAGATGTGCAGGACGCAGAAGATGTCGTGGGTGGGGTCGTGGAGGAGGCTGAACCCCAGGAAGATGAGCAGCACTGCAGAGCAGGAGCCCACCTGGAACAGGCCCTGGGGTGCACTGAGGAGGCACCCGACACTGATGCTGAAGCAGGCTCAGGAGGCAGTGCTGAGGCCCTGCTGAGTGACCTGCACGCCTTCTCAGGCAGTGCAGCCTGGGATGACAGCGCTACGGCACCAGGAGCCCAGGATCTCCACGTCACTGCACTTTAGGAACCAGCCTTGGTGTCCCAGCCCTGGTGCGGCATCTCACTCTATCTCTGCTTCCCAAGCTGCCACAGTGGAACACAGCTGCCTGGGACCTGTTCTCATCACCCCAACCCTCACATGGAGCCCCTCAGACAGTCGACCCCCCACCGGTTCCCAAGCCTGTGCAGCCCCATCCCCTCAGAAGGCCACCCACCGCACGTGCCCTGGGCAGCCATTTGAAATAAATCCCTTCCCACCCCGCAGATCTGTGGTCCTGAAGTGTCCCCTTGCCTTCCTGAGCAGAGCCCCTGCTCTTGGAATGACCCCACCCAATCCCAGAGTCCAGCAGAAGCCAGTTGATGCCATGATTCAGGTCTTTAATTCCACAATGGCACAGCTGAAGGCAGGAGTCCCTCCCACTAGGACCCTCCTGCCAGCAGTCACAGCCCCTCCTCCATGGGCATGATTCTGGGGCTCCGCCATTCACGACAAAGATATACTCACTCCTGTCCCACAGACACACCCCAGGTCTCTGGAGCAGCTGGGGTCTGGCTGTCCTCACAGCCTGCAGGGAAGAGGCCTCAGTGTTGCCCTCACCCATATCCATCCTCCTAGCGCCCAGGGCGCCCACGGCCCCTCTTGGACTTCTTGGTCCCTGAGGGCGGGCGGATGGGGAGGGGAGCAGTGCTTGAGGGTAGTGGCGGTGGTGGTGGCAGGAGTGGAGGTAGAGGTGGTTCCATGGGTTCTGGTGGACCTGGGCTGGGTCGGAATCCCTCAAAGGGAGAGAACTTGAGGGGGCTGCAAAGGAAACCAAGGCAGAGTCAGAGCCCCCTGGGCCCTGCAGGATGACCGGCTCTCACAGCAGAGGAGACTGAGAGGGGCGCTGACTAAGAGCTATGGCCAAGGCCACCCAAAACCAGCAGCCTCCTGTCACTAGAGCCCCTTGTACCTGCACCACCTGCTCCCCTCTGCACCTCGGTACCTGATTGGGGTCCGGGGGCTGCTGTTGAGGCGACGTGGAGAGCGCAGCTTGGGCTGGAAGGAGAAGCCCTCTTTGATGCTGTCCAGGACAGAAGGGGCCACATATGTGAAGCCCTGGGGGGAGAAGTCAGGCCAGCTGATGTTCAGGTCCACCACTCCTTAGCTACCATCCCAGCCTGGGTCCCCACAGTCCATGGGTCCCTGGGGCCCTCACCAGGAAGGCCTGATTGGCGCTCTCACTGAGGGCCGTGTCATCTGGACTGTCCACTGGCGTCTGCCGTGTGAAGCGGGTGTCGAACTGACTCACATCCTCCTCTGACTGCTGTGGAGACCCACATGGGGAGGGTGAGGGGGTCTGAGGCGCGGGGCCTCCACCTGCCATGGGGCCAACAGGACCTGCACTCACCAGACTTGGCCTGAAAGGGGGGTCCACGCGGCGGGCCAAGAGATCATCCCAGTTGATGTGCCGGAAGAAGGGGTGCCTCTGAGGGTAGAGAGCACCCTCAAACATGCCAACTAGTCACCTTTCCTGGCTCCCTCCCCTTTCTTTTGGTTCCAGACTCACCTGCACATCAGCAGCATCCCCTGGGCCACCCCCTATCCGTTGGCTGGGATTCCGCTTCAGAAACTGTGGGGCCAAGGCAGAGGTCAGGGCTTAGGGGAGGCACTACTACCTAGCTCCAAGGTTGGCTGGGGGAGGATAAGGTTAGGGGGTGCCCCGAAGTATGGCCTCCACTTACTCAGCCCCACAGGATCTTCAGGGTTAGGTACAATGGAACCTTCTCTATGAAGCCTTTCCCAGCATCACCCCAGACACCTCTAGTCAGGATCCAGGGCCAAGTCCCAAAGGAGTCCTTCCCTCCCGTGTACACCCAGCCACTAGCCCTCGTGGTGGAACTGGCTACCTCAATTCCTGATTAGGAACTAGATGTGGGCTTGCCTAGGGGAAGCAGCTGATCTGTCAGAGCTGAGGCCTGGGCATAGGGTCTGGGAGTGTTGCCTTCACTTCCACAGGTGCACTACACAGGCCATTGGCATTCAGGAACATACAGGGTGGCCAGCAGACCTGAGCCTGGACAGGACAGTCCCCACCTTTTTGACAAGGTCCCGGGCATCTGGGGTGAGGTAGGGGGGCAGCACCAGCTTCCCCTTGATGATCTTATCCATGGTCTTCTTCCGGTTCTCTGCAGTGAAGGGTGGCTAGAGGAGGCAGAAGGTGAGGAGAGCCTGGGGGCCTCCACCAGGCCCTGCCCCAGCCGGGAGGGGGCTCTCCCACACCTCCCCCTCCCAAGGAGGCTGGACTTGCCGATCCAGTGAGCATGTCGTACATCAGGGCCCCCAGGCTCCACCAGTCCACCGCCCGGTTGTGCCCGCTGCGCACCAGAATCTCAGGGGCCCTGGGGGCCGGGTGGAACTGCAGTCAGGCCAGATGCCCTCTGGCTGTCCTCCCGACCCCTAGGCCAGCTGTGTGTTACTTACATGTACTCAATGGTGCCGCAGAAGGTGTGAGTGACGGCACCCTCATGAATGGACTCCTTGCACAGTCCAAAGTCCGTCAGTTTGATGTGGCCTGAGGAAGAATAGCAGAGGATGGTCAGGGCCACCCGGCCACGGCTCCCAGCCTTTCCCTGCACATCCAGCTACGCAGCTGCACAGCGTGTGTGCTCACAGGCGCACCCTGGCTGTTGAGCATGATGTTCTCAGGCTTGAGATCTCGGTAAATGATGCCTTGGGAGTGGAGATGGCCCAGAGCCAAGGTGATCTCGGCTAGGTAGAAGCTGCAGAGACAGGACAGGTTCAAGGGTGGGATAAGAGTCAGGCACCCTTTGGGAGAGGGGCAAACTTCACACCCACCAGGCCGTGTCTTCCAGGAAGATGCCTTCTCGCTCCAGATGTGTGAAGAGCTCACCCCCTGCAACACAAACACATCAGCTGCTGTGTGCTAGGACTCAGTCCCGCCACTGACTTTGAGTCTCAGTTTCTTCTCAGGAAAAATGGGGCTTATAAATCCCGCCCTACCTGCCTCCCAGAGCTGCCGTGGGGATTCAATTCAATTCAGCAAACATCTACCGCCGCCTACTCGGTGCCTGGCCCTGTGCTGGGTGAAGCTGGGGGCAGAGATGAGCAGACCCAGCCATTGCCCTCAGGATGCTCAGTCTGATGGGGAGACAGACATGCGCACACTGCTCTAGGACGCCAGACTGAGGCAACAGCTCTGACAGCTTTGCCCAAAGAACTCAGGACTGAGACAGTACAGATGAAGTTAATCCCGACAAGGGACAGAATGTGTGGTGGCTGTGGGCTGAGATGGAAGGGAGGGATGAGGAACATGCAGGTAGCAGCTCCCAGGGCTTAGCTGGTACAGGCAGGGAAGTGGAAAGTGCAGACCTGAGCTATTTCACGGTGAGCAGGGCTGATGGGCCAAGGAGGCCAGGCTTCTTCTGGGCAGTTAGAGACTCAGAATTACAATCAGTTTTGGTAAATGGATATGGAGGCACACATCTGTAATCCTAGCACTTGAGGTGCTGAGGCAGGAGGATCACTGTGAGTTCAAGGGCAGCCTGGGTAACTACTAAGTTCAAAACTAGCTTGAATTATACAGCAAGACCTTGTCTCAAAAAAACAAAACAAAACAAAAAACCAAAGCGAGAGAGAGAAAAGAAAAAGCTTGGGAATGGCCCTGGTTGCTAGAGGAGACACCAGGAAGTAGGTGAGCTGGGGCTGAGTGGAAAAACAACTGTCATTGCTATACACACACACACACACTCTGACCAAAAGACAGTAGAGGCGACCGGCAACACCACAGAGGATGCAGCTAGATGAAGCCCTGATGCAGAGCGCACAAGGAAAGACAGAACAGGAAGGGGTAGCAGAAGTGGACAAAACCACCCCCTGGTCTTCTATACCAACTCCCACCATGCCCATCCACCCCAACACAGGCAAGGGACACACTAGGCACTGGACAGGTGTTTGCTGAATGAACAAATGAATGAATGAATGAACAGATGGGCAGTGGACCAGTGGTGGATGTGGGGATCCCTTAGCCTTTCAAGCTTCCCTCAAGCACCCAGCACTTCCTGCACTGGTCCCTAGCCACCCACAGCCCAGCTGGACCCACACGCATACCACTGAGGCACTCCAGGATGAGGTAGAGTTTGCCACCTGTCTGGAAGGCATAGGCCAGTTCCACAATGAAGGGGTGTTTCACTGACTCTAGAATGTTCCGCTCAGCCCGTGTATGTGCTGTGTCCTTGGCATTGCGCACGATTTTGGCCTTGAGAAGCAGGAGTGAGTTAGAAGGTAGGCACCCAGAGCTCCGTCAGCCCCTCCAATCATTACTCTCTTTCTGTTGTTGTTGTTCCACGTCCACCTTTGTTGTTTTGCAGCAGAAAGCTCAACTCTGAACACACTGCAAAAATCTGCTGTGCTATAAGGTCCTAATAACCTCAGTGAAGGTTGACATACTCTGCCATAAATGTGCACTAAGGCTAACAATATCAGCAAGAACGCAAAGAGAGAAAGGAGAACTCCAGGAGAGAGGGAGGAGGAGAGGGGGGGATTTTAAAAAGAGAAAGCCAGGCGAGGTGGCCCACGCTTACAATCCTAGCGCTCAGGAGGCTGAGACAAGAGGATCTCTATGAGTTTGAGGCCAGCCTGTAACTACACAGCGAGACCCTGTTTCAAAAAGAATAAAATAAATAAATATATAAATAAACATAAATTGGTACTGTCAGCCTCTGGACTCTAGATCTGCACAGCCCGTGGACCTGCAGTGATGTCGTGATTCCTCCCAGTGATCAACACATGGCACTGGATGCCAATAATCATGAGCCTGAGATCGCTACAAAAGTGATCTGGCCAAGACAAAGACAAGTGGCATTTCACAAAGGTCAGTGATCCATAACAGCTCAGTATTCTGCATGGCTCTGATCCACTGCTCTTCTGCCATCTTTGGTCATTTCACTGAATTTCTCCATAGCTCTGCTGCGGTCAGCAATCATCACTTTCAGGGACTGGTTTATCCTCTAACATGGGGTTTCTCAAGCTTGACACTGTTGTCACCTTGGACCAGACAATTCCTGTGCACTAGGTTTAGCAGCATCCTTGGGCTCTACCTATTGGATGTCAACAGCACTTCCCTCCAGTCAAAACTCTGTCCAACTGGGCATGGTGGTGCCTGTAATCCCAGCACTCAGGAGACTGAGGCAGGAGGATTGCCATGTTTGAGGCCAGCCTGGGATATGTAGTGAGTTTAAGACCAGCTTGGACTACACAGTGAAACCTTGTCTCAAAAAACTTAAATAAAAAATAAAGGATTTCTTAAAGTTCAAGGCCAGCCTGAGCTACATAGTGACATCCTGTCTCACAAAAAAAAAAAAAAAAAAAAAAAAACTATCTAACTGTTAAATTAGCCAAGTGTGGTGGCACATGCTTGTAATCCCAGCACTTGGGAGGCTGAGGCAGGAGGATCGCTGAAAGTTCAAGACCAGCATGGACTACAAAGTGAGGTCAAGGCCAGCCTGAACTGCATAGCGAGACCCTGTCTCAAAAAGACCAAAAAAAGGGGGCTGGGGATTTAGCTCAGCGGCAAAGCGCCTGCCTGGCAAGCGCAAGGTCGTGAGTTCGGTTCCCGGTACCGGAGAAAAACCAAAAAAAAAAAAAAAAAAAAAAAACAAAAAAAAAAAAAGATTTCTAAATGTCCCCTGGTAGGCAAAACTGCCCTCATTTGGGAATTACTGCAGAGCAATATACATCACAATAGATAATAAACTAGCAAATCCTAAAGACAGAGAGCTTCTCCTGCATCATATTTACTGCTATCTTCCAAATTCAGCCACAGTGTGCTAGGGAGGGTGGCCACTCTATATCTGCTGGCTGAGCAAATGACTCACCTTCCTCAGGACTTTCATGGCATATATTTTCCCCAAGTTAGTGCCTTGCACCTTCCGCACCTGGAACACCTGTAGAGCAAGGAAGACAGGATCAACTTCCCTCCACATCCTATCTTTCAGAAGCCCCACCCTCAAGCTCTATCACTGAGACCAAGAGGCCTAGGCTCACCCAAGGGTGGGGCAGTAAAGATCTTCAATCCCATTCTAGGAGAATCTGCCCTTCCCTCCTTTCTGCCAAAAGCTCTGAAGCCCATCAGAGGCTCTGCTGATTTACAATTCTAATCTCTGTTGAGAACCTCATGCTGCCTCACGGTGAGGGTTGAGGCCATGGGGCGGGGGTGCCAGTACCTTGCCGTATCCCCCTTTCCCCAGCACTCGCAGCAGTTCAAAGCAGTGGGGCCCAATGCGCTCTGGGCCTGGGTTCACGCTGGTCTCGGTCAGCTCCACCTCCTCATAGTGCCCCACTGGCCTACGGACACAAGAAGTGAATGGGGGACAAGGCTCCAGCGCTCCCCAGTTCCCCTTCCCTAGCTCATTCCTCCATCCCCCAACAAGACCCTCACTCACTCCAGGCCAGCAGCCCTCAGTTCGGCAAGGGGATACACGTCCTGTGAGAAACCGAGGGGGAAGAAGCAAGGGAAGTGTCAGGATCCCTCCTCTCACCCCATGTTAAACTGCTTGACCCAGGAATGGGAAATGTCAGAATAAGGGCAAGGGAGGAGAGGCCGGGGTCAGAAAAGGGGAAATCGGAACCAACGGCTAGGGATCTGAAAGAGAAGGCGGGTCCCAACTTCAGCGGGGCTGGATCTGAGAAAGATCCAGGTCTGCAGAGGTCGGAGCCCACTCCAGCTGTGTAGAGCCAAGGTTCTGGCTTCGGCCAAGTGACAGGCTCGGCTCTAGGGTCCATCGCGACCGGCTGGAGCACTCACCGCTGGGCTGAACTCTGGATCTCCCTCGCCCTCGCTCCCTTCCTCTGTCTCCAAGTCCAGATCAAACACGGCCGCCATGGCCGCGCCGGCCCCGCGGGCCCCTCGGCCCGGACCTGGCCGCGCTCTGACTGACAGCTCAAGCCTCGGCCCATACGTTCTCACTCCGCGACCGCGGGCGCGCGCCGATGACTTAAAGTTACTTCGCCCTCTATGGGGCAGGTAGTTTTAGCTAGGCGGGGCAAAAAGATGGCGCCAATCGCATGGCCTCTTGGGAGTTGTAGTCCCAGAGTGCGGGCCTGCCCATTCTTCAGCCGCCAATCGCGCTTCAGTGAACTGTCTCTTCCCAGCACCATCCTTGTGGTCGGCACCGGACAGCAACCGCCTGGAGGTTCCAATCTGGCTCAGGAGAGTTTGAGTTTGGATAGGCAGTGTCAAAGGTGCAGGTAGGTGTAAGTGTAAATGCAGTCCTCAGCTCTGTTGGAGCCGCGCACTGCCAGACTGGCTGGGCAGCGAGAGGCACGTAGTGTCCCTTTTCTGTTTGCTCCTGAAAGGGAGGCAGTTGCATTTAGAGACTCGTTAAGGTGCCTCTGGCTCAAGGTCCCTGTAGGGCAGAGATCTGGGGGGAATCAGTGTACCGTTGAGCTGTTACTAGGCTCTTTCCTTTAAGGGTTTGGGGCTCCTAAATATGATTTTGTTTTTGTTTTTGTTTTTTTGAGACAGGGTCTCGCTGTGTAGGTCAGGCTGGCCTCAAACTCACAACGGTCCTCCTGCCTCAGCCTCCCAAGTGTTGGGATTACAGGTGTGCACCACCATGCCCTGCTAAATATGGGCTTTCATTAATTTAAGCACCTTTGGTAATTGGACTGCCTGGTACAGACAGAATAAAGACACTTAATAAAAGTTGCTTGAGGGGCTGGGGATTTAGCTCAGCGGCACAGCGCCTGCCTGGCAAGCGTGAGCTCATGAGTTCGATTCCTGGTACCAGAAAGAAAAAAAAAAAAAAGCTGGTTGAAAGGATGAGAGTCAACACACCAAACTTGGTCTGTGACTTTGGATTGGGCATGGATTCATGCTGGATGAGCTGATGTGTGTGTGTCAGGGGGATGAAGTTGGGCCAGACTAGGCCTTGGTTGAGTTCTGGTTGTTAGGGACTGTCTGGATGTGCCTTCCAGTTGTACAAAGTAGGCTGGGCATGAACTCAGACGGACAGAACTCAGGGGTCTGCAGACTGACAGAGGGTTATTTGGATGTGACCTCAGGTTGTAATCCCACCAAAGGAGAGCATCAGGTTTGGGCCCTGATGTGGGAGTAGGACAGGCCCCTGCCAAAGGTCAGCCCAGAGGCCCAGCCAATGGAGTGTTTTTCCCCTAGCCCCTACCCATTGCTTCCTCCCCAGGCCCTGTCCCCCTCACAACTCCCCCAACCAGCCCCAGCCCCACCTAGCTGAGCCTAGGAGGAGCTGTCCAGTCCAAGAAACCTATTCCAGACTCCAGATATTTCACTAGTCCATAAGCCTTTATTTGGGAAGGGATGCCTGCTGGGGGAGCTGTCCACTGTTCCTATGCTGTACAGAGATAGTTCTTGAAGCAGTTTCCCTAAATGAAGAACGCAGTGCAGACACCTTCTGCCAATCCTAGTTAGATGTTCCAGAGGCCAAAGCACAGACACTTGGTGGAGGTGTATGGTGCATGGGAGGCAGGTGTTCACAAGTCTCTGAGCTGTTTTCGATGAGGGTACAGAGGCTGAGGGGCCTAGAAGCTGAGCAGGCATGTAAGACTTAGTGAATGTGGGAACCTGGCCCCAGCCCTTGTGTCCATATCCCTGGTGGAAGGACCGTGGGGATAGTCACTTTTCCTCTCTGAGCCTGTTTCCTCATCTGGAGAATGGGGACAATAGTATCTCTGTGAAAGTATGAGGGGAGGCGATTACTCCTGACCACAAGCCACTTGCTTCTGCTTCTCAGGCCATTTGAGACAGGGGCACTGCCAGAAGGTTTACACTGGGCTCTAGAACTACCCTAGGATATGGATAAGAAGACAAGCATTTAAATCTCAGCTCATCATGGGATTTGTCCAAGGCTGGAGGCCCACCAAGGTTCTTCCCTGTAGGTGGCAGGAAGAGAGACAACCCTGGAAGGGTGGAGAAGAGGGCCTCGGTCTGGGTCCACTCCCATTTGGGGTGGGCAGTTGCAGTGTGTGTGTGTAACTCCTGGTACTTTTCCAGGGCTAGAGTCCTGGGGCAGCTGTGAACTGCACCGAAGCCTTTGAGAGGCCAAGAGGGCTCCCTACACACATTTGTTTTATGGCCCTTAGCCCAGGAGGATTTGGTGTCAAAATGGCCCTGCTGCTCTGAAGCAAACCTGAGGCATGGGAGCAGGCCAGGCTGGGGTTAGAGTGGGGTGATAGGCAGAGACAGACAAGAAGCACACCAGCAGGTAGAGGGCACTACAACTCCTCCCCTTAGCACTTTATCCCCACCCCTGGCTCCAGGACTATTTGAAATGAGACAGAAAATGAGCAACCGGGTAGTTGGGCCTGTCGATGCCCAGGCCCTGACAGAGGCCCAGCAGGCGGAGGCGGGCCTCAGCAGGGCTGGAGCCAGCACAGGCCACACTGCAGTAGGGCTCCTCATACTCGCCAGGCACCAGGGCCTCCTCCAGCAAATTGAGGCGCAGTAGGCCCTGGTCATGCAGAGCCTGCAGGGTCTCTCTGCTGGCTGTGGAACTCAATGCCTGCAGGTGCTGAGACACCAGGCACATGATGCCCACCAGGTGACCACGAGCATGGGGGTGGGTGGGCAGGGCAGGTCGCAGACCACAGGCCACCATTGCAGCAGCCAGCAGCAGATCCACACCATAGAGCTCCAGGATCCAGTCCCGCAGGTAGAAACCACCCATGCGGGGGTTGATCTCGATGAGCCGAGGGCCAGCCCCAGTCAGCTTGAGCTCCACATTGAAGACACCATCAAGCAACCCGCAACCCAGACAGCAGCGGAAGGCTGCCTGCACCAGCTGTGCCTCCTGCTCTGGTGCCAGCCCCGTGGGCATACAGGCTGCTGTCTCCGTGAAGCCAGGCAGCCTCGTGGGGCCATTGTCAGAGACAAAGGCAGCCAGCAGCCGCCCACCAAACACCACCAGGTCCACATCATGCTCAGTGCCCTCCACAAACTCCATCAGCAGCATGGCATTGCCCCAGCCCAGCCCAATGCCTGGATGGTCAGCCTCACCCTGCAAGTCACGGGCAATCCGGGAAAAGTGCTCATGGCACTGTGACGCATCCTCCACCAGCCGCACACCCACTGCACCTGCCCCAAACTCCAGCTTCATCACACCTGGGAGGGGGACCTGATGGACAGCCCTCTCCACATCTGCCTCACTCTCCAGAGGGCAGCAGGCCACAGCATGGAGGGAGGGTGCAGGCCACGGCGGGCCGTGACGGCGAGACAGGTGCAGCTGAGTGCGGCTCTTCTGTTTAGCCAGGCACATGGCAGCCGGAGGGCTGCAGGGCAGTCCCAGCTCCTGGCAGAGTAGGGCTGTGAGCACCAGGCAGTCATCCCAGTAGGAGAAGCAGCCATCTAGCTGTAGGCCACGTGCTCGCACCAGCTCTGCCAGGAGCCGCGCATTCTCCTCATCCCTCCGGTGCTCCGTCACATCAAAGTGGATAAAAGTCTGTACCAGCTGAGACGCAAAGTGGTTGGGGTCTGACTCTACCAGGTGCAGCTGCAGAAACCACAAGAGGACAAGACACCCAGGTGAGCAAGTGGTGGGTGCAGAGGAGACTAGATGGGCCCCACAACATTGTTCCAGCCCTCAGAGGAGATGGACTCATAAATGCTAGCTATTCAATAAATGTTGATTTTTTTTTTCTTTTTCTTTTTTTTTTTTTTTGAGGAAGGGTCTCACTCTGTAGTGCAGGCTGGCCTAGAACTCTCAGAGATCCTTCACAGTGCTGGGATTATAGGCATGTGCCACCTAGCCTGGCTGAATGTTGATGATTGATTAAATGAGAGACCTATCCCAGCCTGGCGGTGGGGGAGCATCCTGAAGGAGAGAATGCTAAACTGGAGCTGAAGACTAAGCATCAGTCAGAGGAAAGAAGAGGCAGGACAGACAGCTGCAGGGGAAAAGGTGGAGGAGGTAAGAGCTCAGCAGTGCATTCCCACAGGCAGCCTCACTGCAGGGCTTTCAGAGAAGCCAAGAAGGTTGGGGTTCAAGACAGGCGGTTTGGTCTTCATTCACACCAAAAGTTCTGGCACTGCAAGGTACCCACGGGAGATTCCTGCGGGGCTCTGTATCACCAAAGCTTGTGGCCCAGTGTGGGGACACACATACAAAGCAGCTGAGACTCAGGGCAGAGGTAGCCACTGAGGTGGGAAGGGAAGTGGCTGTCTGCTCCGTAACCCTTGGTGTCAGCAGCAAGCAGCATTCCAGCAGGAGAACACGCCATGTAAGGCAGGGGCAAAGAGGCAGGGCAAAGCTGGAGGGGGGCTGTCTAGGGGGTGTGACACTGTTCGGGTGGAGAGGAGGCCACTGGAAGACTAAGGCCAGCAGGAAAAGGCCCCAGATTTTGGTTTTGGTTTTATTTTTTCACTACTGGGGATTGAATGGAGGCCCTTTGCACTGAGCTACATCCCCAGCCCTTTTCTATTTAGGGACATGATCTCCCTGAGTCACTAAATTGCCAGGGTGGGCTTGAATTTGTGATCCTCCTGCCTCAGGCTCCCAGAGCGTTGGGATTACAGCCCTGTGCCACCACACCAGCTGTTTCTTATCTGTTCAATAGGGATAAAAATGTCGACTTGGCTGGTTTGCTCAAGATTTTATAACGGAACCCACTTCTGTAAACCTGATTGAGGATCTGTAAGGTGCTTCCCAGCATTTCTGTGGGTCCTAGGCCCTAGGAATTCAACCACAAAATGCCTGCCCTTTGTCCAGAACAGAGCTAAGTCCCTTAGCTTAGCATTTGAAAACTGGGTTCAGCTATGGTGCCACTTCATGATAGCCCACCTTTATGCTGTAGGATGTATTTTTTATTTTTATTTTTTTCTGCCCAAACTTGTTCTGCAGAGCCCATTTTCCTCCTACTCTTTTTTTTTTTCTACCCATAATAAAAGTGAAGCTTTGCCACCATTAAAAAACAAGAAAATGTCCAGGTGTGGTGGCACATGCCTGTCTGTGATCCCACTACTCAGGAGGCAGAGGCAGGAGGAGCGCCACAAGTTGGAGGTCAGCCTGACTACACAGTAAGTTTAAGGTCAGCTTGAACTACATAGCGAGACCCTGTCCCAACCTCCCTAAAACAAACAAACTGGGCTCTAAACCGGGAGTGGAGGTGCATGCCTATAATCCCAGTATCTGGAAGACTGAAGCAGGACGATGGCTAGTTGAACCCAGCCTGGACAATTTAGCGACTGACGCTTTTCTTCAAAATTTAAATAATAGTAATAAATGGGCTGTGATGTAGCTCAATGTGAAAGTCCTAGATTCAACCCCAGTACCATAAAAACAAAACAACCTGGGCTCTGGAACTAACCCTAAATCTCGCCCTTGACCCCTGCCTGTCCCAGGCCATCTACGCTGGCATCCTCATCTTTCCTTTCTATAGAGGCCTCTGTGCCCTGGTGGAGCCCTTAGGAGCTTAGCTACCTAACCAAGCAAGGCACGGAAATCGGCCTCGCCCTAGCAGGCACGCCCGGCCCAAACTACCCTAGCATTGTTCCGCCTCAAAGGCGAACCCCGCCCCCTCGCTCCGGGCCCCACCCCGAGCCACGCCTGGACCACTCAGGCCGCAGCGCAGGGCCCGGTCCCCGCCCACCTTGAGCCCGTAGTCGCGCGCCGCCTCCCACACGAACTTCTTGCTGACGCCGCCGGCGCCAACCAGCAGCAGCTGCTTTCCTTCCATGAGGTAACGCGCCGAGCGCCGGAGCATGGTCTCCACCAGCGGCGCAGCCGCCGCCTCCTCGGCCGCCAACCCCAGGCGGGGCGCGGCCCATAACCCCTCCAGCGTGCCGCAGGCCTCCAGGCACAGGCTGCTGTTCAGCTCGAGGGCCACCGGGGTCAGCGCGCGGCCGGACACTGTCAGCGCGAAGTCCACGCCTGGGCCGGGCGAGGGATGCTGCTCAGCGCGGACAGCCCTCGGCCTCGGCCCGCGGAGCCCGCCCGCCCGCTGCGAACCCGCTGCGCGCCCGCACTCACCGAGGCAGTCAGTGCAAGCCCGGCGCCCGCCGCGCTGCTCGGCGCTCAGTCCAGCCTCCAGGGCCAGTACCGCGGCCAGCACGGCCTCAGCTGCCTCCTTGACGCGCTGCCTCACGGCTGCCACCTGTGCCGCTTCGCTCAGGCCACACTGGGCCAGCGCCACCTCCAGCGTCCTCGGCAGGGAGTTCTGGTGCCGCAGAGGCCGATCCCCACGACCCACTCCGCACACCACCTAGGCAGGTTGCAGGTCAGGGGACTGGGCTAGGAGGACCCCTGCTGCAAGCACCCCTCCAGGCCGGACCCCTCAGTCGGTATTCAGGAAACTCCATTCTCCAGTGTGACTCAGACTGACACTCAGCTAGTATCATCTGGCCCCTGGCCCCGACCCTACCAAGGCTCAGCTAGGGTGCCTGCTCCCTGAGTGGCTCCAAGCATGCTTGCCCTAGCTCCTGCAGCCACTCTGCTGTGTCCTAGCCCTACATGTTCCCCAGAAGCCTCTTCTCCACTGTAGCACTGGCTTACTTGAATGCTTTCCTCCAGCTTGACCCAGAGCTGTGTACCCAGAGGGTACCCCAAGCCTTCTGAGCTCTCCAGCTTGGAGGCACCCTCTTCCCGAGGACTCCAGGCCCTGGAGGTTTATCAGAATCCCTGGGTCAGCCTCTTCTGTGGGCAGGAGCTCTCTGAGAAGATAATCAGCCCCCTGGGCCCTGGGCCCCAGCATGAGGCTAAATACAGGGGCAGGAGCTCCTGATACAGAAGGGGCTCAAGAGAGTTGGAGTGTCAGACACAGGAGGCTCTCCATTGGTCACCAAAATCCCCCCAAGCTGGGGATATAGCTCAGCGGCACAAGCGCCTGCCTGGCAAGTGCAAGGTCCTGAATTCAATTCCCAGTACCAAAAAAAAAAAAAAAAAAAAGCCATCCAAAATCCCCCCAAGAGATTGTCCTGTCAGTGGGACTGGGCTTGGGTGAGGGACAGGGTTACCTGGATCTGCACCCCCCCTGCTCACCTTGCTCAGTAGGGGCCTATCACCCTGAGTGCGACACACCACAGCACAGATACGCACAGCCATCTCGGGGCTGGGTGAGGGACCTCCTGGGTGAAGAGGCGGAGGTCTAAATCCAGCAGAGTCCAGGAAGCCCTGCCATGCTCCCACCCCAGCTGCCACAGGCGGCTCTCACCTGGGAAGGGCAGCCGGGCAGGTGGACACATGGCCTCCACCAGGACACTCTCTTCTTCCTCCAGTTTCTCCAGCAGCGCCAGCACTGTGTCCACCACAGCACCCAGCTCCACCCGAGGGTGCAGACACAAAGCCTGCCGCCCCCGCCAGCGCCAGCCACTGAGCTTCACAGCAACCTGCAGCAGGAAGGGGAAAAAGGGCTTCCTTGACACCACCCCATGTACCTGCAAGGAGGGATGTTTATGCCACTGTGCCAGAGAGTAACTAAGGTAAGAGGGCAGGGCATTGCCCCACCTTTGGGGCAGTGGCAGGGCTAAAAGTTGGGGACAGCTTCCCATCAGGACTTGGGTACCACTCATGGGTGCCCTCCTGCTGGCATCTGCACAGACCTCAGGGTGGGCAGGAGCCTGTTACCTGCACAGCATCACCTAGAGCCTCGGAGTGCAGAAAGGCCCCTACTTCCTCTTTCACCAGTGTTTCCTGGCCCTCTTTGCCACTCAGTTCCACCAGCCGTAGTCCTGGGCTGGCGTCCCCTCCCTGCAGCAGCCCTGGAGGCTTGTAGGTGAAAGCCAGAGTAGCTGGCACGGCCACACGGCCCTGCTGGGACAGCAACCGCCTCATCAGCAGCCGGTCCTCCAGCAGCCGGGCCAGCTCCGCTGAGGCTCCTGTGGGGCAAGTCAGGTTGCGGGCCAGCTCTGCTGCCTCCCGGCCCCAGCCAGGGCCCAGCCCCAGGCCTGGCAGGAAGTAGGTGGCACGCCGTGGGGGCACAAAGTCATCCAGGAATGTCAGGCCCCCTGGATAGAAGCTCACAGCCTTGGAGACCAGCAGGGCCGCCTCACCCAGATGCCCTGGTGCTGGCACCTTCGTCAGCCAAGCTGGAGACAGGCAGAGGAGCATGTTTCCTGTAGGCAGAGGGGGGCAGGTAGCTGGCCAGTGAAGGCTTATATCCCCAGTGCCCAACACCTCCAGCCTGGCCCTTGTGCCACGGAAGAGACAGTTCTTCCCAGAACCCACCCCTACTCAGAGTGTGGCAGCTGGTCCCATGGAATGCAGGCAGTTGCCAAGGCTGGTGGGTATTTTGGGATGTGGCTGGGCCAGGGCGGGGCTGCCCTTTCTGTAGCAGGGTGGGGAACTTGGGCACACACTCACCCGGGCTCTGGACCCCACCCTCCAGCAGCACAGACAGAAAGGTGCTGGGGGATCCCAGAATGCACAAGGTCACCTCGGCACCAGGGCAACCTTGGGGGTAGAGACATTGCCAAGTTCATCAGGGCTCCCTTTTCTGCCTCTCTGCCCACCACCTCCAACTCCCACCCTCATCCTTGGGCCCCCAGGTTCTTTTTTTTTTTTTTTTTTTCCCCCCCAGGTTCTTTTCAGTAATTGGATGAGAAGAGTACAGGGCGCAGGGGGAGCTGTCTGCCCACTTGGCCCCAGGAAGCTGGCTCCCCTTCTCTCCTGCTGGTTGGGCTGGGTGATGGAGACCTGGGTTTAGCCTGGGCTCTGAATTCTCTGTGACCTTGGAAGGGCCACTGTTTCTGAGAGCCTGTTTCCCAATCTGTACCTGGGGAGCAAGTCTCTGATTCTCATGTATTCTAGGAGTGAACGCACTGTCCACACAGAATCATTTGTGGCTACACAAAGATAAAGCAGGAGAGGAACTTTGGGGTCCCAGTGCTCAGTTGCCTCCACAGCTTCTCCCAAGATACTTCTTGAGAAGCTTTGGCTCTACAGAACATGATGTGCAAGTCCCAGGGCAGTGTGTGTGTATGTGTGGGGAGAGCCCTGACCTCTGACTTCACTGGTGCCAAATGTCTTTTGCCTTTCTGTCTTCAGATGGAACCAGAGCCTAGGGAAGGGGCCAACCTCAGCAAGGATGGGGAGCAACTGGACTGATGGTCCCTCTCTGCCCCCCAGGGATACCCCCCATCCATGGAGCCCTTGGGCACCTGTGTGGGGCACCTGGCTTCGGTCCTGAGTCTCCGGAAGCCCAGCTTGCTGCAGACAGCTCTGCAGGAGGCTGTAGTAGTAGACAGTCCAGGCCCGGGCCTCGGCACCCTCAGGGGAGCCTTTGCAGTCCAGGCCCACATCCTGGCGCCAGGAGCCAGGGAAGCAGCTGATGGGTGGCAGGCCAGAGCCCCCTCTCCCTGGCTCCTCCTCTTGGTCCAGGTCCTTGGAGCTCAAGGGGCAGTCCCACTCGGGCCCCAGTGGATCCAAGGAAAGCTGAGGGGGGCAGAAGTGGTAGGACTTGGACAGGGTGGGCAGGTGAGTACGTTCAGTCACCCAACAATGTGAGCTGTCTTGTTCAAGGGCCCAGGACAAGAAGGAGTCAGGCTGAGGGAAAAGCCCAAGGGGCAAATGTGGGAAGAGTGCTTTGTAAACTGTCAGGTGCGGTGCCTGGGCTAGGAGAGCAGGATCCAATGACCTGCTAGCTGGATCAATGACTACTATCCTGCACCAGGTCTGCCCTAGCTTGGTTCATAGAGGCAGAGCTTTTTCTCTGTTTTGTTCACTGAGGCAAGCCCAGTACTCCAAACAGTGACTGACACACAGTAACTCCTCTATAAATGTTTGCTGAGTGAAGAATTGACCAATGAGCATAACAACCACTTATAGGCATTCATTTCTCTCTGGGTTGAGTGCCCCCTCTGCCAACATGGAGTGTGCTGCCACCTAACTATATAAGTGAATGTCTTTCACCGTCCTCAAGTAGGCACTGAAGACCTGCCATGAGCCAGCCCTGGGTAAGCATTGGAGAAGGCTAGTGCCCTCTTTCCAGGTGCCTGCAGGAAATTCTATACTCCTGCCCTCTGAGGCTGGCTGACTTCCACATGGGGCTACTGGGTGCCTCAGTGTGACCCAAGAGGAGGCACTTATTCCTTGCAGTTCCCTGGTCTGGAAAATGCCTGGTGCCTGCCCTATCCCATCCTTGGGGTGTTCATGAGGCCAGGAACTTGGAGAACCACCTGGTGATTAAGAATGTGCTGTGGCCAGGATATAAGCAGTCTGGGCCTCAGACCTGGGCTTAGATTCTAGTTGGCCAAGGCCAAGCTCTGGGGCTCTGTGCCCTCTCCTAGCAGGGGAGCTCCCTGACGGCCAGGACTGTGGGCTCACTTCTGTGTCCTCAGACCTAGAATGGTGCTGGCTGCACAGCTGGTGCTTGACAAATGTGGAATCACTGTCAGGGGGCTGACAGTGCCCACTTTCCAGGGTTGATGGGGGACAGATGAGGGCCTGGCACATGCAGTGAGGGTCAAGAGGTTGGAGCTGGTTAGAGATCTCAACCGTTCACACCGGGCAGCCCTCAGGGTTAAGCCCCTGGATGCCAGTCATTGCCTTCTGGGCCCACCCTCTGCCCAGGGAGTTGGGCCTTTGGTGGAGGGACCACAGGAGACTCACCATCTTGCAGGTGGAAAGTCTGAGAGACAGAAACAAAGCCGCAAGTCAGGGCCAGCCAGGTCCCTTTCCCATCTCCAGCCCCTAAGACTTTTGGCCTGGCGACACCCTCCAGCTCCTCCTCAATCCTGTCCCTACTGGCACATGACCGTGGTTTCCATCCCTGCCCCGCCCCGCGGAGGAGGGACTTCTGCTTTACCAGCCCCAAGCGTCCTGCACCCCTGAGCTCCCCTAACTCAGGTTGCCCTGGCTCAGCCCTTCCGACGTAGGGCGCCCAGGGGTTCCCGAGAGTGCGCTGGGTTAGCGTCGAGGGTCCCGCTGGCGGGTGCCGCAGGGGCTCAGGGTCCCCGTCCCGCCGCCCCTGCTCGGCAGCCCCCCTCCCTGGCTCCCCCGGGGCGGGGCCGGAGCCGGGGTACCTGCGGGTGGTGCTGGCTCGGAAGGGATCTGCGCGAGCGGACGTGAAGGCAAACGCGGCACGGCGCGTGGGTGGCGCAGCATCGCCTTATATAGCTTGCCCGCCCCGTGCATGCCCAGTGAGAGGCGGGGCGGCCTCGGACTAAACCGCCCGGGCCCCGCCCCCTTGTCCCTGGCCAGAGGCAAGCAGCAGGGGGAGGGGGATTGGCGCTTGGATGGCAGGTGGTGCCGAGCTGGCCAGGGAGAAAGTCTACCGGACAGCAGAGATCTGTGGAGACACAGACCAAGTCCTGACAGGGCCAGGGGCGAAGGGACAAGGACTGTAAGAAAGACAGACCCCATAACAGAAAAGAGGGGAAAACAGAGGGCAAGGAGGAAGGGGGCAGGGGCAGGGAAGAGGAGGCGCAGGCAGAGCCTGGTACTAGAACCACCCTGGGGGTGGGGTGGCAGAAAGGCGGGCGGGGTGAGGTCCGAATCCCTGCCCTTAGCTAGAGCCTGAGCACCCCCACATCCAGCCCTGCAGCTGCAGTTCCAGCCAGGAGCGCCTGACCCTGCTGCATGCAGATTCCCTCCAAAGCCCTCCTGGGCCAGATCTCTGTACTTGTGTAGAAGGAAGGGAACAGCCTGGAGCAAGGGTGCCAGCGCGCAGAGGGGCTAGGGTGTCTGTAAGATCCGGGCTGTCAATCAGCCAGCCCCAAGGAGGGTCACATACTTGCAGTTACACCCACACGCAGTGTCCCCAAGACACATACACCCTGGTGGATCCCCCAGACGCCATCTCTGAGTTCACACCATCTCTTCTAGTGTATCACATCAGTGGATTCCAAGTCTAAGTCTGAGAACCTCCCTTTCTGATGCAAAGCTCACTTTCCTTCTGCCTTAAATGGGTCTATTCCCCATCCTGTAGGGCTGAGCCACACAGGCAAGCTGTCCTGTCCTTGTAATTTCTCCTCCGACGCCCCACCCTCAGATGCTCCCCATCCTCCCCAGCACCCACTGTCTCCAAGAGTATACTTGGTTAGGGGAGGGTGTTGAGGAGCCTGGCAGCTTTTGAACTGTTTCTGCCACTTCAATCACAGCAGCCTACGCAGACCCACTCTATCTACTTCTGGAGGGGCTCCAAGAGGGGAACTCCCTTTCCCCGGGCCCTCCAGCCCAATCCACAGTGCTCCACCATACTTAGTAGGGTTGCTGTGGGCTCTCCCTGTCACTGCCCAGGCTCCTGGCACGAGGGGCAGCCACCCCAGACAATCTGCCACCCTGCTGCCTCTGTGGCCTGAGATAGAGAGATCCCACTGTGGATGTCATCCAAAGAGCATGAGCTTTGACATTTAATGAGCCAAGCAGCGTCTGGGGACTCAGTGTTCTCATCTTCAAGTGGGGATAACCTTGCATATGTAGCACAGGCTTAGCTGGGCAAGGGTGCCTGGTGGTGTCTGAGCACTCTGTAGTTCCAGTATCAGCAATGCTTTCTCCTCCTCCTTCTTTTTGTTTGTGTTGAGACAGGGTTTCTGCTAAGTATTCCAGGTTTACTTGAACTGATTATGTAGCCCAGGCTGGCCTTGAACTCACAGCAATTCTGCCTCACCCTCTCAAATTGTGGGATTACAAGTTTGCCCCACCACACCCCACCCATCAACAACATTTCTTGACCTTGTCAGGCAATGTACAAGAACTACATGTGTGGTTCTCCCTTAATCTTTAATATTATGAGATAGTAGTTATAATTCTCTACCTTTACCCAGAGAAACGTGAGGCTCAGAGAGGTTGTGTGATTTGTCCAAGGCCATCCAACTGGCAAGAGGCAGAATGTGAAGGCACATAATAGTCAAGATTCCAGAAATTCAACACAAGAACAGAATATTAAAAGCTGTTAGACGAAGCCGGGCATAATGGAGCACACCTGTAATCCCAGCACTCTGGAGGCTGAGGCAAGAGGATCACTGCAAGCTTAAGACTAGCCTGGGCTACAAAGTGAGCTCAAGGCCAGCCTGAACTGCAGAGGGAGACCCTGTCTCAAAAAGACAAAAATAAAAAATAAAATAAAAAAAGTGAAAGCTGTTAGAGAAAAGAAACAAGTCACCTATAAAGGAAAGCCCGTCAGAATCATAGCACACTTCCCAACACAAACCCTCAAGTCAAGGAGAGCTTGGAATAAAGTATTTCAAACTCTAAAAGAAAACAACCTCTAACCCAGATTTATGTTCCCCACAAAACTGTCTTTCAAAATTGATGGAAAAATAAGATACTTCCATGACAATACCTGAAGGAAATCATGACCACCAAACCAGCAGTCCAAAATAGTCTGAAGGACATTCTAGAAAGAGATAACAAGGACTGTAACTCCATGAACAACCTCATAGAATGAATCCACCAGGCAAGGCAAGCAATTAAAACAGGGAAAAAAGAAAGTCAGCAACAGGAAAATAATATGATAAGGATAAGTCAATACCTTCAGTTATAACCATCAATGTTAATTGTCTCAACTCACTTATCAAAAGAAATAGACTGATAGAATGAATCAAGAATCAAGATCCAGGCTGGGGATATAGCTCAATGGCACAGTGCCTGCCTGGTGAGTACAAAGTCGAGTTCAATTTTTGGTACCCAAAACAAAAGCAAAAACAAAAAAAATGCAAGATCCAACAATGTGCTGCATACAAAAGAATAATTTAATTAAAAAAGAAATTCACAGAGTGAAAGTCAGGATGGAAAACAATACTCCATGTGATAGGAACCAAGAAAAAAGCAAAAATAGTTATTCTATTTGCAGACAAAGTGGATTTCTTGCCTTCAATTCACTTTGTAGCCCATGCTGGACTTGCAGCAGTCCTCGTACCTCAGCCTCTTGAGTGCTGGGAGTTTGAGGCCAGCCTGGGCTACAAAGTGAGTTCAAGGCCAGCCTGAACTGTATAGTGAAACCCTGTCTCAAAAAAAGGAAAAAAAAAAAATCAATGAATCAAAGAGCTGGTTCTTTAAAAGATAAATAAAATTGACAAACCCTTAGCCAACCTTACAAAAAAAAAGGAAAGAAAAGACACATATTCATGCAATTAGGAATGAAGAGGGTGAAATCACAACAGACCCTGCAGAAATCCAGAAGATAATCAATGCCTACTTTGAGAACCTATATTCTAGTAAGATGGAAAACACTGAAAAAATGGACAGGTTCCTAGATACATGTGAATTACCAAAGCTGAATCAAGAAAATGTAAAAATTCTAAATAAACCACTATCAGTCAATAAAATTGAAGATGTAATTAAAAACCTACCAACAAAGAAAAATCTTGGCCTGATGGGTTTACTGCTGAATTCTACAAGAAATTTAGAGATCTAATACCACTACTTCTCAAACTCTTTAATGAAATTGTTAAGGGAAGCAATACTCCTAAATTCATTCCTGGAAGCAAGAATTACCTTGATACCAAAACCAGAGAAGGGTCCTATCAAAAAAGAGAATTATAGGCCAGTCTCCCTAGTGAACATGAATGTAAAAATCCTCAATAAGATACTGGCAAACAGAATGCAGCAAATCATCAAGAAGATTCTACAAATGACAGAGTAGGATTCTTCAAGGATGCAGGGATGGTTCAACATATGCAAATCAATAAATGTAATACACCATATTAACAGAGCCAAGGACAAAACCAGGCTTAGCCAGGCATAGTGGTGCACACCTATAATTCCAGCACTTGGGAGGCTGAGGCAGGAGGATTGCTGCAAGTTAAAGGCCAGCCTGGGCTACAGAGTGAGTTCAAGGCCAGCCTGAACTGCATAGCGAGACCCTGTCTCAAAAAGACAACAACAAAAAAAGGCCTTTTTTCTAATGAACGAAGTAAAAGGCCTTTATGTTGAAAACAACAGTACTCTGAAAAAGAAGATTGAAGGGGATATCAGCAAATGGAAATATAGCTCTTGTTCTTGGGTAAGAAGAACCAAGATAGCATTTTTAATAAATGGTGCTGGAAAAACAGGCTGTCCACATGCCGAAGATTAAAACTAGACACATATCTTTCACCATGCACTAAACTAAAATCAGAATGGATCAATGGATCTAAATATTAAAATAGAAACACTAAATTTTCTGGAAAATAGAATAGGTAAAACTCTTGAAGACACTGGTGTAGGCAAAGACTTTCTGAACAAAACCATAGTCACACAGGAAATATCACAAAGAATCAACAACTGGGATCTCATCTTATTAAAAAGCTTTTGCAAAAAAAAAAAAAATTAAAAAAATAAAAGGCTTTTGCACAGCAAAATAAACCACGAATAAAGTAAAGAGACAATCTACAGAGTGGGAAAAAAATTTTACCAGCTGTTCCTCAGACAAAATATATTCTAATATCTAGAATATATTAAGAACTCAAAAAATTCACACACCCCCAAATTTGAAGACCCGATCCAAAAATGGGCATCTGAAATGAATAGATACTTCTCAGATGAAGAAATGGCAAATAAATACATGAAAAAATGTTCAAACTCACTTATCATTTGAAAGATGCAAATTAAAACAACACTGAGATTCCATCTCACCCCAGAAATAATGGCTGTTATCAAGAAATCAACCAATAGCAAATGCTGGCAGGACTGTGGGGAAAAAGAAACTTCTCTATTGTTGGTGGGAGTGTAGACTGGTGTAACCACGTGGTAATCAGTGTGGAGATTTGTCAAAAACCTGAAACTAGAAGTTCTATTCGACCTAGTTGTTCCCTTGCTTGGCATTTTCCTGACAGAATTAAAAGCATCATGTCACAGCAATATATGCACAGCCATGTCTATAGCAGCCCAGTGTGTAATAGCTAAATCTTGGAATCAGCCCAAATGCTCATCAACCGAAGGACGGATAAAGATGTGGTTGAGGGGATGGGGACAGAGCTCAGCGGCACAAGCGCCTGTCTGGCAAGCGCAAGGTCCTGAGTTTGATTCCCAGCACCAAAAAGAGAAGATGTGGGTTTTTTTTATACATACAGTGAAGTACCACTCTGCCATAAAGAAAGATAAGCTTGAACCATTTCTAGCTAAATGGATGCACCTTGAGACCGTACTCTGAAGTGAAATAAATTGGACACCCGTTTAAAT